TATTGAAAGGTCAAATTTATTTCCTATTTATAAATAGCTCTTAGAGACTACTTTTGTGTCTTAGATAAGGCGTGTATTCACCCTATTTTATCTAAGGTGATAAATCAAAGTTCAAATAGCCTTGCCTGTCAAAAACTATCAGCAAATAGAATGGATTGCAGTTAAAGTCTCGCCTAAGTATCATCAGTACCCCTAGCGGAAACCGACCACAGGTAGTGTAGCCTTGACACGATGACAACTCCGCATGTCAAACACGAAGCCTTACCCATAACATTGTGGAAAAATTCAGCTACAAATTCTTTATATTCTCAAGCAAAATAATGTAAATTCAGTCCTTATATAAGGTCAACGCAAATTATTGGCAATCAAAATAATTATATTAGCATATTTTACTAAAGCCTAATCTATTTACGTATTAATAGTCAAATTTTGGCAATATATTACTATTATATGCTTATATTAAGGTATAAAAGAAATTCACTCAATAATGTATATTTGGTAGTTTATTAGCGCTTTTCTTTACTCCACTCTCCTCTCCTCGGCTCCCCCGTTAATTTTCAATGCCAGAGATACGCAATCTTCCTCCATTACAGCTTTTATGCGATATCCAATCTTTAAAGTATAAATTTATTCATTACTACCCTGCAGATCACATTCTGTGAATCTTAGGCTTCTTCGGACGGAATTGGACTCTGCCGTCGTTTATGTCGAGAAAGAGGCAAGTCATATCGCGGAATATCTGACCGAAATCAACAGTCTGCTTGCTGAACGGGGCTACTATCATGATAGAATTTCCGTAATTGATAAGGATCTCAGTTCGGTTAGTCTAGTCCTCTCTTCTTTTTTCCGTATCTATGTAGTTCACATTCAATTTCTGTCTTTATTTTTATCAGCTCTATGACACACTCTCGGCTGCTCAGCTGCAATATGATTCATCCCTTGCCCTGGTGGTCTCTTTAAATATCCAATACAAGATGCTCTTGGATAAGATCAATAAATGTCACAAAGATCTAGATTTGAAATCAGAGGTCATTGAAAAAGATTTCGAGTGAGTACTGGAATATTGGCTATTCCAAGGTGTTGTGTTTTATAATTGACATTGCAATTTATAGAGCCATTTCAATTGCCGCTTCGGATCCATATTATGCTAAAAGAAAATGTGAGATAATGGCTGATAAATGTCTATTGGTCGGACGTTTTGAAGGAGATCGAAATTCTCCCGTATTAGGCAATCTCCCCAAAACAAATAGTCGCAATGGTGCTGCTCTTTCCAGTGTTGCTTTGTCTCTCGAACTTCCTTTCTTCTCATTACCTGTTGATCAGATTACAACATCTCAGCAATCATCAAGTCTCGTCATTGAAAAATCTCAGTCTCATCAAGGTAATTTGCTTGTTCTAGATGTTAGATTTGTTTGAACTTATCCTGAAAATATTTCCTTTTATTTATTTTTGTAATTAAGCTATAGTAAAGTCTAAACTT